TTCTTGTAGCCACAAATATGTTCTTACTTGATAGAGGTTCAGAAGTTTCTTTCTTTTTTTCCTGGTTACATATAAAGTGGTATAAAATAGTTCAAACTAAAGTTAGCAAGTTCATATTTAAAAGAATAATAAGAAAAAAATATCAAACCTCGCATATTCAAGCAAAACTTTTTTTGCCAGCAGTGTGTGGATATCTCAACTTTTTGCGATTCTCAATGTTTGTTTCGGACATTTTCTGTGACAAAGTTGAATTTGCGACAAAAAAGGAACATTGACAGTGAATACATGATATTCCCCATTGAATTATTCGCAAGATATATTTGTTTTAAGTACATATACTCAATCTTGAAGTCAAAGCCAGATAAGTAAAGTTAGATGGTAGACCAACTAAAGCTTTCGAATACATAGAAAGCTTGTGGTCGTTTCCACTCCATAATCTACCTACAACAGAATGGTAAATTTGTGAAAGAGAAGATGCACCTTTCTTGAATACAATATAGTAACCAATTCTTTTGGCTGATGGAAAAAAAATTAAAACTTTGGCACTAACAGACTCCAGATTAGAACAGTTATATATCCCAAATCTAGCTTTTAATTTGCCTTTTATTGTTGTCTGTTTGAAACCAAAACCAATTACCAGAGAATCACTCACATAAATCAACACATTCAAAGAGACAAAGAGCAAACAATCATTAGATTCATCAACAGCAATACTCAGAAACAGAATGGTGGGATTTTCAGCTCTTCTATCAAGAAATATGTCATGCAATTTCTTTTAAAAATACAACATACTTCAGTTATGGCTAGCTGGTTTATCCCTCAGACACATATAAGGAGCAGAGTCAAGAGTGTATTCAATGTTGTGTGTGTATGTGTGCATATGTGAATATTTCCAAGACAAATGCAGAGTATGCTGATAACTTTCGACAAACGAAAGGCAAATCTAACAGACAAATGGCATCAACAAGAAAAGCTAAAGAGCAAATTAAGCAAATTAAGCTGAAGAGCAACTATATTTCTCGCCTAAGAACATGATTTCTAAATAAATAAAAATCAAACATTTTAAGCAAATCATGGAACAATATTCAGTTTTACCTTCTAGGGATCAAAGTTCCAATATCTAAGAAGTTCCCTAAATTGAGAATCTGGAACATCAACCGGCCTATTCTCCATTCGAAGCCCCTCATTCTCATAGGGTTCAAAATGGTCTTTCTTTAACTGATTTTTGTACTTTCACCAAGCATTTGAAATTGATTGAAAAATCCACTTTTTTGCATCTTCATGAATGTCATATTTTCCCTACGATTTAGAGCAGTTAGGTTAGTGTAAACAATATGAAATATCCACACACACTTATTGAATATTGCGAATTTCAAGCCTTGACATATTTCCACATATCTTCTTTTGTCTCAAGTTTCCTCGAATCAAACACATTAAGAGGACAAAAGGTCGCATTCCTTGCCAATGTACCAAGGAAGCTACCCAACTCATTTACATCGTCATCAGTAGGACCTATGGGTTGATTGTTCTCATTTAGCATAATTTGCTTACGCTCTTTCCTACCATGAACACTTTGCATCTGAGTTTTTCCTCTTTTTCGTTTTTCGGCAGAAGGACCTACATTAATATGAAGTAAGAATAATCACCAAAAGTCATTACGTTAGTGAATTTGACAATTGAAATCTATATGTTCTTGCCTTGTTCCTTGGATTGTTCGTTTGTATCATGATTGAAAGAATCCTCAACTTGTTCTTGTACCGTTTGTGAAGTACGAGTGGTGGAATCCAGTGGTAGTTGTTGCAATTGTTTATGTACTGCTTGTGATGCAAGAGAGGTAGAGTTCAGTCGCATTTGTTGCACTTGCTCATGTACTGTTTGTGCTGGTGTAGAAGTAGAATGCAGAGGCAGCGATCCACCTGTAGAAATAGAATGCTGCAATTGTTCACGCACTGCTTGTGATGCAAAAGGTGTAGAGTTCAGTGGCATTTGTTGCACTTGCTCATGTACTGTTTGTGCTGATGTAGAAGTAGAATGCAGAGGCAGTGACCTTGGAGCTTTAATAACTCTGTTTGTTTTCAATGACGAAACCTTTAGGTTTCTCAAAGATGAAACCGATCCATCAGCAATGCATTTTATTAATTTTTATTTTTACTTGAGGGCCCTTCCTGATTCATGATCCGCTTTCCTCTTTTCAAAATTAGATACACATGAGAGCCAAGAAGTAATTGATTACCAACAATAGAATCAATTGAGTAACTTGATACTGCTAAGATGCAAACAGTAGGTACAAGAGTCATGGTAAACCCTTTAAAGGTTCAAAAACACAAAAACTCAACAGTTGTGAACAAATGTGATGCTGTAATTCACTATCAAAGTACAGAAGCAGCCAAGGGCACAATATTGACTTAAGAGGAATCATATTTGAGTTATGTAATCACTTTGAAGACACAATCAAGCAAGAAAACAACGTGTAGGCAATAGACATGTTCACTTCTCATAAATTTTAGACTCATAAGTGTACAAAAAAGTATCACACACAGACAATAGACATGTTGGACAGTGTTGGATGCAGCAAATAGCCACTTTTCTACACCTCGATTAGAAACATCAATGGAATGAAAATTGTATATGTGCAGGAGGCTATCACATGCAATGAAATTGGAACACACAAGTATTGAGCAGTACACTTTGACGGGCCAATTTGGCAATCAAATGTGCGCAAATTCATAGAGTGGCTACAAAATGGATAGAGATTTCTACTAAATTGGATCATTAAAATGCTTTAGTTTGATGAATTTGAGAGCAAACACTTGAATAATGATCTCAAATTACAAGTATTATAGCACGACAAGAATGTAACATGACAAGTGTTATAAATGTTATCAGTACCTCAATTCTCTGTCAATTCAAGCCTCGACCGGTTGCTATCAACAAGTGCAACAATATCACAAGCTCCAAAATCCTGCAAAATTGAAGCATCAGAATAAAATGCTAAAGGAAAAAACAAATAAAAATATATTAAAAAGATCAGTGTTAGAAACAAGAGTAATTATAAAATATTGGTAAAAAACATTATCACTCGCTCAAACCAGAATATATTTAAAAAAATTTCAGAATTTTCCTCTTTAATCATCTGATTCCATCCAATCCCAATCAGTATCGTCAAACTCATCCTCCTCTTCCGATATTTCTATAATTGTATTATTTAAATGTTGTGCATTAGATGGAATATCAACGACATCAAAGGGTACGTCGTCTCTAGACCATCTAACGTTAGCATCAACTAATCCACTTAAGGAACCAATGTCATCATTAGGCTCTCTCCAAAATGCATCTTCAATATTGAGGCAATTCTCTTTCTCTAAATCATACAAATCAACAGGGACTTTATTCCTTGTATAATAAACATCTTTCTCAACTGGATCCTCCACATAAAAAACTTGATAAACTTGTGATGCCAACACAAAAGGGTCATCTGTACTACATAATTTGTAAAAGTATACACGAGTTAACCCATATTCATCTATTTCATTACGAAACAATCACATCTAAATAGTAGAATGCTAAAACAACCCCAATAATCAATATCAATAATATCCTGAATAGCTCCATAATAGATAACCTCACCATCGATGTGATTTTGGTCCCTAGAACTAGCAAAGCTATCGGTTGTTGCCGATAAAGTCACTCCACTATTTTGAGTCTTGCATCGGGAATCTCGTTCTATGGTATGAAATCGGTATCCATTAATAAAATATGCAGTATATCTTTTGGCGACCGTATTAGGCCCTTTATCTAGCCATTTTAAATAATCGGGTACTTCAATATTTTTAACTTTTTCTGGAAACTAATTGTTGAATTCCCGACTATGCTTCCTTGCCCTTTCCCATACATTTGATCTACTGTGACTACCAATTAAATCCTTATGTCCCCTGCAATTATGAGTTTTATAAAATCACTCATATCATAAAGAAATATAGAAATTAAATAAATATTATATAATTTATCTTACTCGATAAATTTTTCACTTGTTCATCTCCAGTATTGAACAGAGCATACCGATGGGCTTCATAACATAACTGTGGATCCATGAGAAAAGTATTTTTCTTATTTCTTCCAATTGGATGTCCTATTATAGGGAATATAGGTGACAAATTTTGAGGGCACTCATCATCCACATTTGTGTATCTACTGAATCTTGTCTTCACGCCATCATGTAGGTATCTCGAACAAAAATTCAAGCACTCTTCCGCCAAAAATCCCTCTGCTATTGATGCTTCTGGACAAGATCGATTACGAACAAATGCCTTGTACTTACATAGATTCCTTTCAATAGAATACATCCAAGGAAGATGTGCCGGACCCCCAAGCTTAATTTCATTTACCAAATGAATAGGCAAATGTGGCATTATGTCAAAAAATGTTGGATGAAAAATCTTTTCAAGCTCACAAGTTATTTCAACAATTTCAGACTGCATTTTTTCCAGATCTCTTCGCCTTATGACCTTACTACATATGGCTCTAAAGAAATTGCCCAACCTAATCAAGGCCAACGAGACGTTCTTGAGCAACGCCTTTCTAACAGAAACCTGGAGCAAGTAATGCATTATAAAATGAGCATCATGACTCTTGTACCCTGATATTTTCATCTCCTTCACTTGAACGCGATTTGAAATATTCGAGACACACCCTTTTGGTAACTTGGCATTTTTCATAATGGTGCAAAATAAACTTTTCTGTTCTGGTTCCATGTAGAAACAAGCTTTAGCCAAACTCACACTACCATCATCATCTTCTCTTGGTTGTAGCTCCTTTCGTATCCTCATTTCTTGTAAGTCATAGCGAGAATTTACATGATCCTTTGACTTTTTTTCTATTTCCAGCAAAGTCCCCAATAAACTGTCACATATGTTTTTCTCGATGTGCATCACATCAAGATTGTATTACGCGCCCAATATGGCAATTCAAAAAAAATAGATCTTTTTTTCCACGGACCCTTGTTATCCCGTGGTCTTTTTTCCCTTTCCAAAGACATTGTTGAATTCAAGTAGCTCTTCAAACACTTCCACACCCGACAAAGGAGTAGCTGCAGGTCTATACTCCTCATTACCATCAAATGACTTCTTATCTTTTCTCGATGGATGATCAAGAGGCAAAAATCTCCGATGACCCAAGTAACACATCTTATGACTATGTTTGAGATATCGAGAGCATGTGTCGTAATTACAAGTTGGGCATGCCATTCTACCCTTGGTGCTCCAGCCTGAAAGCATTGCTAATGCTGGAAAATCACTAACTGTCCACAATAAGGCTGCACGCATTTGGAATGTTTGCTTTGTCTCAGCATCATATGTTTCTATCCCAGTTTCCCATAGTTTCTTCAATTCTTCAATTAATGGTTGTAGATACACATCTATATCATTTCCTGGAGATGAAGGACCTGGAATGATCATTGACAACATGATATATTCTAGCTTCATGCAAATCCATGGTGATAAAGTATAGTTCATCGACATGACAGGCCACGTGCTATGAGAAATGCTCATGGTTCGAAATGGGTTGAAACCATCACTTGAAAGACCCAACCTAATATTACGTGGATCTCTGGAGAAGTCTAAGTGTAGAGAATCAAAATCCTTCCAAGCTTCTCCATCAGCAGGATGCCTCATATTCCCATCATTGGGTCGTTCATTAGCATGCCATCTCATTGCAATGGCTGTTTCAGGACACATGAATATCCTCTGAAGCCTAGGCTTTAAGGGAAAGTACCTTAAAACCTTTCCTGGGATTTTAGAGCTTGTATTAGTCAAGGAAGCATCAACAACTTTCCATCGAGAAGCCCCACAAATAGAGCAATTATCGGCCTTTGCATTGTCTTTCCAAAATAACATGCAATCATTAGGGCATGCATATATTTTTTCATAATGAAAACCCAAATATTTTATCATGTTTCTAGCCTTGTTGAAAGATTCTGGCAACTGAACAAAGGGAAATGCCTCTTTTAACAACTCTAACATATCTGAAAAGGCCACATTACTCAATCCATGCAAGGATTTAAACACGTACAACCGAATAGTGAAACTCAGTTTAGTGAAGGTTTCACACCCAGGATATAGTTCTTGTTTACCTTCCTCTAATAATCTGAAAAATCTCTTAGCATCTTCAGATATAGTCTCTCTCATCTGTTCTTCCTGCTCTGCCTCACCTTCTACATTTCTAAAGGTATCATGAAGTAATCCATCAATATCATCACACATGTTAGAATCTTCATCATCATTGCTTTCGTGAGGTGCATTTCTAGAGGAAAATCCTTCCCCATGGAAAACCCATTTGGTGTAACCATCAACAAATCCATTAACAACCAAGTGATCCTCCACCATATTTCTATAGTGCCAATAGTGATTAATACACTTTTTGCAAGGACATAATATTTCATTTCCCTGGGAAGCTCGTTCAAATACCTTATCAAGAAAATCGTTCACTCCACGGATATACTCATCCGTCCATCTTAGGAGATACATCCAACTTTTATCTCCATTATCCATTGAAATCCTATACGATAAATTAAATCGACAAAATTAACCAAATAAACCTACATATTATTAGACACCAATGCTTTTAAAGGTGAAAAATCAGAAGGAGGAGCAACTGAAGAGAAGTGGGATATTATATTTTTAATTTTAACATGGATAATCAATTTTAACATAGTGCATTTGTATATTTTTATGAGTTTTCTGCAGGCTCACATAATAAATATCTAGCTAGCTGGGTAACTCTAAGAAATATGTTGACTTTTTTGTATTCTTGCAACAAAAAAATTACAGAACAATATTAAATAACAATGCTTGCCTATTCTGTCATTTGTAGTACTTTAATTTAGAGTCGTACTCAACCCATGCATTCAGTTCTAAAAAAAAATTGGACTTCAGCAACATGTTGTAACTTAACTCAAGGCATCATTAGTTAAACTCCAAGATGGCAGTAAAAACAAATTTAGAGTAACATACATAACAAGATAAATAAGCGAAATACACAAATACACTACCATCAAATCCAATTACCAAAAATTTAAATTAAGAAAACTTACCAGTAACAAGTGTTCCCTAAGTTACCAGCAATGATTTCTCCTCGGCTACCAGAAATAAATTTTCTCTCAGCTAATAATATATGTACCACCAAAGAAGGTTTTATAGTTCAACAAGGAGTAGCATGCAAAAAAAAAAAAATGACATCAGAAAGGGATTACTTGGAGAGCACTCGAGCAAATAAAACAAGAAATAATCTTGTCTTGGATACAAAAACAAACTAATTAGACTCAAAGGAGTTTAAACCACTACCGATCACAACTGAAATTCTGCAAAACAGTGAGTAAATTATACTCAAATAGTACATATTCTGACCCAAAACTGAACTCAAAACTGCAGATTTTTTGCAGATAACAGAGGAGCAAACAGACAGAATTCTGGTGCAAATAACCAGCAATTTCAGTTGATCTTGCAGACCCAACTTAGCACAAGATGAGGAATACAAATCAGATTTTTTGGATGTATTGTCATATTTTGACTAATGTCACTCGTGATTCCAAAGAGCCATTTTTTTCATTTTAATTGTTTCATCACTTAACCATGCAAAATAATGAGCAGCCCGATTGGCATCCCATAATGCGTGACTTCATCATATGAAAAATTAACTGAAGTTGATATGGAGATGGACATAACAGATTGACATCCATATCTCAGGAAAAAATCAAAGAACTGTTTCAAGGGTACTAAGATAATATAAGAAACTGACGAAACAATTACTATTTATTGACTTGAATATATGTTACTGCCTCTGCAAATAATTCGTCATAACTTTTTTATCAAGAATCAATGCAGCCAAATCTCGGTTAAGACAAAAAAATGCAAAAACAAAACTGTCATCTCAAACATTTTGTAGAGGACAAATATATTCCGAAACTATGAGAAAATGAATCATATGCTCACAGAAGTTTGAACTTTAAGGTGTTAACATATGTTAAATACAATAAAGGTCAAAATTTTTAAAAGGATATAACAATAGATTAGTATTGTATGATGCAATTAAGTTTATAATCTAGTCAAAATATGACAATACATCCAAAAAAAAATCATGTATTTGAATTTCAAATTGTCACGACCCGGATTTCCCACCCTCGGGAGTCGTGATGGCACTTACTATTAGGAGCTAGGCA